TGAACTCACTGGGAGTTGCGATTTGTTTGTGGTGCTAACACAGCTCTGAGTGCAGTGCCTTCTGTGAGGATATGGCTTTCTTCCTGTTTCGATGGCCAGAGCATCTTCCTTCACTTTAGTCTTTGTATGACTGAGGGAGGTTTGTTTATTTCAGTGCTGTGGGTGAAGGGAGTAAACGCTCAGCTTGGTTCTTCCAGTGCACCAGGGAAGGTGTACAGGAGTGCAGGTAGAGACTGTAAGTTCCAGCCTTTGGTTTCTTGGAGCTCTCCTGCTAGTTAATTTCTTAACTATTCATCTTTCAGGCGATTGTAGTATCTGCACCACAGCTTTGTAGTGCTCACTGCAACATATTGGAAGAGCTGCAGTAATACTCATCATAAGTCCTTGTTTGCAGGAGTGCATTTTTTGAGCTTTTTCAAAATGATTTGATTAATGACCAGACTTCATGGCAAATTTGGTACTGCCGTTGTTTGTTTTGTGTTTACTTAATCTGACTGAAATTTCAGTGTGCTGTAACCATTAGAGGGGAAGAAACTGGCATTGCTACAAACTGATCTTATTTAATAAAAGGAAGTGTTATCTATAGTTGAGGGAATTAACTAATGACCTCTTGTTACCATCACCTTCAGGATCTCAGATCCTCCCTTTGCTTGCCTCATTCTTAGTCACAGATTGGAAAAGGAAGACAGGCTTTTTTCCCCTCCCAGCTCTTAGGCAGTTTCTCAACTTCAGATGAACTGCTCAGTGACCTAAACGATGGGAAGAGAGAGGAATTGGGAAAGTATTCCCTCTTTGCTTGCAGAACATACTGCCTCTATTAAAACTCATATAGCCTATCTGCTAGCTCTGGGTTTCATTTCTAACCTGGGTAGAGAATATGTTTCAAAACTATTAAACTAAAACTTATTTCAGGCTATAACATTTTTGAAGTCATTGATGGCTGAGGTTTTGATCTGAACTTTAAGCTTCTTTCAAAAGAGGGGGGAAAACACAAGGCTTATCTGGAAAGTCTGCGAGTGGCGGAGCAGATAAGATAATTGAGACCTAAATGTGAGCTGGGATGGAAACAGCCTCTGTTAAGAGTCAGGTCTCATCCGCTCCGCACAGCCAGGCGGTGCTTCAGTGCATACTAATGCTGTCAGTTCCCTCATCCTGGGGAGGATGCGATGAATTTTGACTCTTCTGCATGAAGAGCTGAGCCTCCAGCAGAAGAGTGAGAGGCACGTTTCCTTCATAGCAGAGATACTGGCTTCGTTGTGAAGCAGACAGCCTAAAAAAGGAGGAGTTTATGTCTCTCCTAAAGTGAGGAATAGAAATGAAAAGCATTCTAGCATGCTCTTCCACTTGGACAGTTGTTTCTCATGTGTGAATTCATCTGCTGCTTCCTCCAGGGTCCCCAGAGGAGGTGACAGCCTTCCAATTTTTGGCTCTTCCCATAGAGGGAGAGCTCCCGTTCTGGCTGTTTTTGGAGCATGAAGGTGGGCAGGAGGCAGTAATGCAGATACCTACAACTAGAACGAATGGGTAACTACGGGAATGATTTTATTCTTTTACTTTTTGCATACTTAATTCTGAATCAGGTTGGGCTTCTCCAGAAGCAGAGTGCAGGGGCTTCCTTGAGCCCAGCAGTGGTTCCATGTTAGCATCGTGCTGTGCGAAAGCAGCAGTCCAAGAGCCAGGCCTGCTGCAGTGGTAGCAGCTGTAACCCAGCACAACGCCTTTGTAGCACCATGTGAATGTGTCACAAATCAAAATCGGTGTTTGAGAGCTGCAGAAATGCCTGATATCCAACGGGAGCAGTTCAAATTATGAAAGCTGACCAACTATCACTGGAGATGAGGGCAGGTCTCAGGTGTGCCTTGCAGCCATCACCCCAGAGTAAAGCAGGACAAAACCTGCTGACTGAATCTTGCATGTTGTCCCTTTTTTTCCTTGGTGTCAGGTGTTTCTAGAAGGGCAGTTTAGGTTTTCCATCAGTTTTCCTGCTTCTTGGTGTGCTGGGCCCACCCCAGGGCCCAGAAATGGAGAGCAGGGGGCTGCCCCCATGGCTCTGCTGTATGTGAGGTCAGCTGCTCAGCAAGACTTGTATTCAAATGCTATTTATGAGAGCAAACTAATTTCTTTCTTGGTAATGATGGCCTCTTGGCTGATGACAGGGCTGGAATCTGGAAGATCTGGATTCTGCATGCCAACACTCAGCTGCGTATCCACGGGGCGATCGTTTGCTAGCTTTCTGCCTCTGTGTTTTTTATCTGTATTTAAATGGAGGGGGAAAAAAAAGCGTTGACTAATCGCTGCCTCAGAAGGCTGTGAGAGCACAGTCAGTAGCCTCGTGCTGTGAGATCTGCAGAAAACACTGCAGGAATGTTCAAGGGGCTCATTATGGCTGAAGCCCTCGCAAGGGGAGGGCTGGTTCCACCTGGGTTGTTGTTAGAGCGTTCATTACGGAGCCTTAATAACTGAAGAGATGATAGTGGCTGCTCCTGCTTCACCCTCAATTACCCAGGGTAGGTGCAGTACCGGAGCTGTGGAGCAGGACCCAAGCGGATGCACTGAGGTTTGCATCCACCCGGAGCTCTTCAGTTCTGTTTCACGACTGGATTTGCATGCAGGTCAGGCCGTAGCCTCAGTGAATTTTGGCAGCTTGACATGGCACAATTGCTTATTGTGCCACTAGCGAGCCCTCAGCGCCTTCTTGCCAAAAGCAGTCCTATATATTCCACTGAAATTTTCCTCTTTATCTGCCATGTTCTCGCTCTGAGAAAACTCTGTTTGGTTCAGTTTTCAACTGGGCAACATAAATTCTGCTACCTGATATTAAGAGGTGTCAAGCAGATGTAAAAACCTCGTAAGAGTGGGCAGCCTTCAGGCTCAGGCTGTCTTCTGGCAAACTGACACTTTTGTGCGGATGTTCCCATCGTGGTTTTTGGTTTATTTGATAGCAGAATCGTGTCCCTTCAGTAGGCGTAGTAACAAGCACTATGCAAGAAAAGGAGAAAGCCTATTCCAGGGAAGGCCAGATATCTTATGCTATTAAACTTTAATAAACTTTCTTAAAATTCAATGGCACTATGCTCTTGTACTTGAACTCAAGACAGATGTGCGGCCTAACTCTAACCTTAGTTTTATTTGCCTGTGGGGTTTCATCTCTCTGTGATGTGTGTAAACTGTTGTCTGCAACTCGACAGATTGTATTGATTAAAATAGAAAGTCAGGTTCCCACTGACACTCATGCTTCAGGAGCAAGGGTTCCGCATTTTGGGAGCGTGAAACTGACATTGAACTCATGAGGCTGTAAGTTAGGATGAATTCAAGCTGGTGCAGGTGTTGATGGAAACCCATCTGTTGGAGCTTCTCCTTTGTGCTGCTGAGCTGTGCGGGCTCAGGTTGGTGTCAGCAGGAAGCTGATCCAGCTGCAGAATATCCATACTGTGCAGCAAAGCCTTGGTCTTGGGATGTGAAAGTTCAGATGTGGCAAGAGGACGGGGCTGGGAGGCTGCCATACTGCTCAGTTGTAGCAGCAGTGATCTGTGAAAGCAAACAGAGAAGAGCCCCATACCATTGCTCAGTTTGACTTGCTGAGTTAGCTGGGTGGTTTTGCTTTCCATTTCTTCTGCATGAGCCTGGGCTGGAAGCATCTGTTCTGTCAAGGACTGCAAGTTGCACTGGAAGAGTTGGGTGAGAAATCCCCTTCTCGCTCATGTTTTGCCTCATTTTCTGAAGTTTTTTCTATAGGAGACCCAAGTTTGGAGCTTTACATACAATATTTGCACCTGCATTTTTTTTAGAAGGGAATTTATGTTCAGCTTTGTAACATAAACAAAGAAGGGCTCTTTTGAAAGGCTGGCATACTTTGTTGCACATTCATAATTTTATAGCTTACATAGAAAAATATCGCTGCCATGCAAAGTAGGGAAAAACGAAAGCAAAATGCTTGTCTTGTAAGCACTGCCAGTATTGATTGGGTGATAAGTAAGCAAACAGATACTGGCAAATGCAGTTTTATTTCATGCTTTAGGTATGTGATGGCTTTAAAAATGCTGGGGCTTGGCACTGTGCACTGGGGCACGGGTGAAAAATTGTTTCTAAATACTTTGTCCTGTGTGTTCCTGGAAGGTGAGGATTACTCGGAGTCTGTAAGAATGGGCCTACAATTAGGAAAGTTTTCTTCAAACAGCCTGTTGTATGTATGGCTCTTTTCTTCAGTAAGCAGTGCAGTGCAGCAGAAACCTTCCCATTGCCAAGCACACACCTGGCTTCCAAAGCCATCCAGGGAGTTTGTGGCAGATGTGTGAAGAAGAAAACACAGCAGTGAAAGGACAGCTGGCTGCTGGTGGCAGGGCCTCCCCATCCACAGGGTGCCTGCAGCTGGTGCTGGTGCAGCTGTGGGTGAGTCTCAAGAGTGCAGAGAGAGGAAGTCGGAGAACTTTCGCATTTATGATCTCTGTCTTCCCTCTTGCTTTAAAGAACGGCTTCGTTTGCGTTGCCTTTTGTAAGTTAAGGGCTCCCGGTACGTTCAGCTGAAGGCCAAGCATCTGGATGAAGCTCCCTCTGTCTCGTATGGTTTTGTGTTCCTGCAGCTTGAAAGCTGCACAGGGGCTGGTGAGGCCGTGGCCTTGCAGTTATTGCTCTTATCTTGGCAGCCTGGCATAAGGAACTTCCTAGTGCTGAGTGCCAGCACTGCACAACCACAAGTGTTTGCTGGTGCAGTTAGTTGAGGGGGGTTGTAGGGCATTCTGCCTCCTCTGGTGGAAGGCTGATCTAAGGAAGCTGTTGCAGAGCTCGTGCAGAGCTGTTTTGTGTGGTATTTGTTTTTTTTTAATTAATAATAAATGA